CAAAACTATAATTTTGCCTGTGGTTCTGTATGGGTGTGAAACTTGGTCTCTGACATTAAGGGAGGAACATAGACTGAGGGTGTTTGAGAACAGGGTGTTGAGGAGAATATTTGGACCAAAGAGAGATGAAGTGACAGGAGGTTGGAGAAAACTGCATAATGAGGAGCCTCATAACTTGTACTCTTCACCAAGTATAATTAGAATGATCAAGTCGAGGACGATGAGGTGGGCAGGTCATGTAGCACGAATGGGGGAGACGAGGAATGTGTATTTATGGAAACGCCAGGAGGAAGAGATCACTGGGAAGACCAAGGCCTAGGTCGGTGGACAATATTATAATGGATCTTAGACAGAATGGGAGGGTAGGATTTGCATTGATCTGGCTCAGGATAGGGACCACTAGAGGGCTCTTGTGAACACGGTATTAAATATTCGGGTTCCATAAAATCCTGGGAAATTCTTGAGTATCTGCAGAATTGGTAGCTCCTAAGGAAGGGCTTATCTCAACGCGTAAGTAAGTAAGTAAGTAAGTATTTTTTTTTTGCTAGTGAGGTGGGACTAAGTCCCTTGTACAACGGCCACTTCTGGCCTATTGTAACAGCCCCAGATAATACGTGAGGGTGATTGTGGACAAATTGGTGGAATGAAGATTGGCAGGGGAAACCGAATTACTAGGACAAAACCTGCCCTAGCGCCACTTTGTCCACCACAAATCCAACTTGACCAGACTCGGAATCGATCCCGGGCCGCCGCGGTGGGAAGCCAGCGACTAACCGCTTGAGCTATGCCGCGGTCCTAAGTAAGTAAGTAAGAGAAGTAAGTAATTTATTTTATGGCGTTTAAGCATAGAATGGCTCGAACAATGAGCAATAGAACGTAGGTATTTATTACAAGTTGCCATTTTGAAACATGTAGTATCCTCAGGGTTCTCTATGCGTCTATTTTCTACCCTTAACAGACATAGGATATTTGTGGGAAAGCCAGGATTAAAGAGACCGCTGGGAAGATCAAGACGTACGTGTGTAAACAATATTAAAATGGATCTTAGAGAGATACAATGGGATGGTGTGGATTGGATTGATCTGGCTCATGGTAGGGACCATGGAGGATTCTCTTGAGCACGGTAATCAACCTTTGGGTTCCATAAAATGCTGGGAAGTTCTTAAAAAGCTTCTCAAGAAGGGTTCAGCTCCACGCGTGAACAGACTTTACGACTGCAGTTCGGTGTAACATATTCTCACAGCAACACGCGACCTGACGGTTGTCGTTACATAAAGTCCATTCTTCTATGATTCAACTACTTGTATTTTTTTTTATTGTTATTTTACGTCAATTTACAATCTACTTGACCACTGCAAGTAATAAGTAAATGCGGTGGGTGCTTATGTCGTGAAGGCGGCAGCTGCCCAGTGGCAGTACTCTACCTTTTAGTTACATAAGTCTTCTGGCCAGGTTGTCCTCAGTCGTCTTGCTGCTGGGTGCGGTTTCGTTAATTCAACGATTAGCGGGTTCTCATGTCCTGTTATCCGAGTACGGTGTCTGGTGTCATGTTTTCTGATATCTTCCGTGATGAAGGGTATGTTGAGATCGCTGTGGATAGTTCCGTTTGTTACGTACCATGGTGCGCCTGTGATTCTTCGTAGTGTTTTCGATTGGAATGTTTGGAGGATTTTGGTATTGGATGGTCGAGCGCAGCCCCACAGCTCGATGCCATAGGTCCATATATGTTTTAAGATTGCCTTGTATAACAGGGTTTTGTTCTCCAGGGACAATTGCGAGCGTTTTCCTAGCAGCCAGCGCAGCTGTCTCTCTTTCAGCGTTAACTGTTGGCGTTTCTTTTTGATGTGAGTCCTCCACGTGAGTTTTTGATCTAGGTAAAGACCTAAGTATTTGACCTCGGTGTTGATTGGTATGTTACTGTTGTTGATTGTTATTTGCGGACAAGTGAGTATTTATGTAATATTTGAAGTATGTAAGCTATAATGACAATAGTGATTATTTCCTTTATTACTGTGTTTATACACTCTTGTAGCGGGCCATGCTGAGGCCACGGACAAAGTCGCATGAGTATTACAAATGGCGGTGGGACTCGAGACTTCCCACTCTCCTCCGGGTCTCTAATTCCCATCCAACCCCCTCTGTCTGTGTCAGCCAGCCCATAGTCCGTGTTGTTAACTAGGCTCTGCTCGCCACCTGTTTTCTCGCTGCAGTGTTGCTCGGCTAACTATTCCACCCTGAAAATGAAGGTGATATGTTTCTTCCAAAAAGTCGTTTGGTTTTCAACAGACTGCTCAGTGTTATATCCCAGAAGACAGATGTCTTCATAAGCAACACTGGGAGAACCTCTAGTTCTACATAGTGACGACGCCTAATATCCACCCTTTTTCAACTAGAATCATGGCTTATATCTTCTTTTACGCTTTTGTACATAAATATATTAATGGATGTTCACAAATAGCCGTGCTGTCACAAGTGTATTCTTGAGAAAGGCAGCGGCATCTCTCCGTACAATTTCAGCAGAATGGACATCGTATCAAAAACAATCGCCAGGGGTTTTCTTTGCAGGGATACACCTCAAAGAGGGACAGTATTTAGCCCCATATTGTCCTGCACCAACCCGAAAATCTGAGAGAGTACAATTTGGTCGCGAGTCCAAACGGACTCAGACCCGAGAAAGACTGTACTGGCAGAGACCAACATCATATACGAAGGACAGACCCGTCCTCTGGTCAGGGCGCCCCACATCAACAAACCCGCATCTGTGTGACAGTAATACAAATCTGGCCGTAAGCCCCAGATGGGTGCTGTATTCCAAGACAGACTGGCCTACTGACCGACGGTCTTAATCTAAGTCTCGGAGGGAATAGGAAGAATTGGAATGGGGATACAAAGAGGCTCCCAGAATAACTGAGAGCGAGTGGAGATTCCAGTCGAGAGAGATTCTTCAGCCGTTTTAGTGAGTCGTAATTCCATCATCAGAGAATTCAGAAGGCTGTGAAGCGTGAAATAGATAAGGTATGTTACCAAGCAAAACGACTAGCAAGCAGATTAGAAGACTTTAGCGTGTTATGGTTACAGTAACTTTTAGAGTGTTATAATTATTTGTAATTATGATTTGTGGTTGTACAATAAATGAACCATTTAATATAGAACCTATTATTATCGGTCACGACCCTAAATACGTGACAATACTCGTATATTGATTCACATATTCTTGTAACTTATTCAATTTGAACTGAAAATTATGACGTGATACAAAACGAGAAATGTAGACTCCTTTTCACCCGTTTACGCATAAACATGTAGATACATATTGTGCAGATAAATTTAACGTTTGAAGTGTATCCTTTTGAAAGACAGCGGCATCTCTCCGTCCATCTTTAACACGAAGGCCTTTGGATCAAAAACGATCTCCAGGGGCGTGTCTTTACAGGGCAACACCTCGAAGTGGGACAGTATGTGGCTCAGTCCAGCCTTGGTCTGCATCAACCCGAACCTCATCCCTGTGAACAGAACCAGAAGCTCGGTCAACAACTGACAACTCGCAGTTGGGATACCCGAATTACAGTGTCTTTATGTGCACAACTGTTTCAATCTTACAAATGGAATATGAGTATGAGCGAAATTCTTTAGCTGTTCAAGTTTGCAATTCCTTCTCGCTCCAACCTCTATAGTATCCACTGGAACGGATACACGTGAGATGAGAGAGTAATTTTTAGGACAGCTCATTTAGTCCTATAGGACAGAAATTAAAAAAAAAATATATATATATATATATATTGCACATATTCATTGTAGTTATCGGTACTACAGAACTTCAAATATTGAAATAAATTATGGTTGATAATTACATCTATAAACGTCATTTTGTAACTTAACAAAAAATTCAGAAGAAGAAAATGGGCAGTTTCACTGAAAGATATAAGTAATATAAATGTATTATTAAACGTTTCCATTTACACAGAGGTTACAACGTACTGTGTTATGTTATTCTTCCATACTTAACATGCGTCAAAACAGGTTATTAATATTTTATGGCATAAGGTGAAAGGTGTGATTTATTAAAGTGCAAATTTTATTGGAACTTTCAATGCCGCTTCCAATATCTAGTAAATTTTCTTACCGATGCAAATTCGGGGACCTTCCCCAAATGGGAGATATGTGTAGTTCGGTCGATTCTGTTTATTTTCCTCTGTGAAACGTTCCGGGTCGAATTTGTCCGGATCTGGGTAGTAGTGCGGGTCATAATGCAAAGCGAATACCGGGATGTAAACCCCTGTCCCTTTGGGAAGTATTACAGTTCCATTCCCGGAAGGAAGTGTGTAGTCACTGCCGCACATCCGGTCCAGAAATGGGAGAACCGGGTACTTCCTCAGTGTCTCTGTGAACATACGAATAGAGGAGAGTGCAGTGATATAGACGGGAAGAGCGGCCAGAAATGGGAGAACCGGGTACTTCCTCAGTGCCTCTGTGAACATACGAATGGAGGAGAGTGCACTGATATAGACGGGAAGAGCGGCCAGAAATGGGAGAAACGGGTACTTCCTCAGTGTCTCTGTGAACATACGTGTAGAGCAGAGTGCAGTGATATAGACGGGAACAGCGGCCAGAAATGGGAGAACCGGGTACTTCCTCAGTGCCTCTGTGAACATACG